ACAGAAGATACTTTGAAATAACATAGGAATCTTGAACAAGAAAAATTTCACAATATGATAAAACTTAGCTAACACAGTGTAGGGTTAACATTTAAATAGGGCAGTAGCTACTTTTCAGAACATCCTTTGAGACTCATTCTTTTAAAACTAATGATCCCTTTTTAACCACTACTCTAAAGGACTCTTCCCCTAGATGGTCACTGGTGACATGAAATAATCAAGGAGAATTCCACCCTTTGATCAATATCCCAGTCCTTCCAGTAAATGGGGAAAAGAGGGTACTGATTAGTTATCATTATCCCAGTCCCCTCTGGAGATGGAAAAGGCAATGATCTTTTAAAAGTATTTCTCCTTTTAAGTCTTTTTACGTTTTCAGAGACCTTAGTTATCCTAGAAATAAATAGGGCAAAAAAGAATGGAGGGAAGGATTTTAATATACTTCCACATAGGGCTGAAAAGGAAAGTTTTAAGACAAATTGGAAATGACTATAAATGGTGAACACAGATGTTTATTTATCAAATTTATAAAAATTTATCAAATTTTTGAGACAGATTTTTGAAGTGATGGAGAACCACAAGAATTGGAGCAGGAGGTTAGAACTATGTTTTAGGAAAATCACTTGGCTGCATGGAAGACAAATTGGGGATGGGGGGGGTGGGTAGGGAGAGACTTGGCAAGAAGACCAAATTAGGAATTTGTTATAATAGTCCAGATAAGAGGTAGGAAGGGACTGAAGTAGGTCAGTGGCCACATGAAGACAGTGAAGGGAACACATGCAAGAGATTGTTTGGAGGTAGAATTGACAAGACTTGGCTAGTGATAGGCTGGACAGTGACAAATTGAAAGTGAATGAATAAAAAAGCCTTTATCAAGCCCTTACTGTATATAGAAGCCAAGTATTAGAAATAGAATTATTAAATATCAATCCTACTTTCAAGGAGTTCGCATTCTATTTTAATATAGGGAGATATAATGTAAGAGGCTTTTTTCCTAGCTTTTTCTACCTTCACTTAACCATCCTTTTAATAGGGATAGGGACTGGTCCTTTGGGAACTCTCAATTTAAGTTTTCGGCAATTTAGAGTTTGAGTTTGCCTAGAGCACTGGAAGGTTAAGACCTCCTAGTTTCAAGGGGGCATCTCTCCATATTAACAACATCATACTACCTCTCATCTTTTTTCATATGTTGCAGAATCTTGCCGGTATTCAAAATCAAGCTTTGTATTCTCCCTTCTCATTTTTGAAAATCTGAGAGAAGTCACTCCATGTTTATTCAGTCCCTGATTTTTATATACATATATGTGTGTATGTATGTATGTATATTTATATTTATAAATATATATATATATATATATATATATATATATATAGTAGCTGATTTAAGCCAGCATTATTTTAGGAAACTTTTTCTAGTCTAGGTATTTGAAGTATGTAAGGCTCTCCAGATCATAATCAGTTTAGCAAAATACTGATCACAGTCCCTCTGTGATTGATAATGGGGAGGATCTAGTCTAGCAGTGGACTTCAGGGCTGGAGAATAGTATGCTTCCATGTCTGTGAGTAATAAATTGCTTAACTTGTAAACCATGGACCTTAGTATTCTTTCTCACCACACATTCACCAGTTATATCAGTTGTCACAATTTTTTTCTGTAAATACTTGAGGATAAGGTTTTCATTTGGCTGAAGACTTAGATTCATCCAGAACAGCTAAGCGCTCATATTATCTCCCCATTGCAAGAAAGTCATACATTTATAAATAGAAATACAGAATTAAAATGACTGGTTTTAAAATTTATTTATTTTTATTTTGTAGGAAGTCACATTCTAAGAGCAGTAAGAAAAGATCCATACAAGAACACAGATTTTTTTCAGACAAGATGCTCCTGTCTTGATAATTTATTTTCAGAAGTAAAAAACAAATTTTTGTATTTTATATTATCTCTAAGAAATATAATTAAAAAACCCCACTTTGAAGTATACCATTCTCAGTATGATCAAAACTTAGGTAAAATGAGAGAAGACAAATTAAGAAAATTGAAATCCGCTTCAAAAACAACAATATTTTGTTTTATATTTTGCAAAAATACAGGGAGAGCATGGAAACTAGTTACGTTATTTCAGAACTTGTAGGTAAACATCAAACGTGTTTTAGTGAAGGGTATTGCAATTTTGTACAAATATATGTACGTTGGAATTCTTTGCCTCTAAAAAGTTAAAACCTCAGAATATTTCATTATCACAAACACTGTTGCTGAAAAAGTTAATGAAATTGCAGCTGGCGTTAAGGGCAGTTTAAGTCAAAGGTGGAAAATTGTTAGGCCTTTTCAGTTGAAGTCAATGAAAGTACATTACTTCAGTACAGCTTAAGTAGTTGGCATTTCTTTGCACATGTGAGTGAAGAATTGCTTGCTAATTCTTTTTATTAATAGTGAAGATGTTTTTAAGGAAGCATGTGGATTTAGAGAAGAAAGTGCAGTTATCCCTTCTGCATCAGGACTTTCTCCATTGCTGTTTCAATATATCATGGATTGGCATTGGGAATTTTGGGGGGAGTTTTGTGGAAGCTGCAGACTTCATGCGAAGGTCAGCGGACAACATGGAAAAAGCTTAGAAACTCAGAAACGCATAAATATGTGTGTAGTATTGTATAATAGCAATATATTTTGTCTTTTAATACCATAATTAGGGACAAAAAGTTTTATGCTGACTTTTGTTTTAAGATCACAGGAGCACTGTGCCCCTAATCCCCTCAATGTGGAAGGCATAACTACACTGCATAATCTTCCATTATCAAAATGAGTATGTGTGGCTGGTGCAACAGCAAGGACAGGGAAGACAAATAAATGAATTTGTAGCTAAAATTATTGGCTAGGCAGAATGAAATTGTTATTGATAATAAATTTCATTGTGTTAACTGCATTATATACCAGGAAGTTATGTGTTGAAAAGTAGTGAAAATGAAACATGTGCTGGAGTTTAAGAAAACAGTTAATTTTATGCGTTGTTTAGGATTGAATTAACGACAATTTTACTTCATACTCTTGAAAATTGAAAATGAATAGGAAAGTTTACTTTATTACACAGAGGTTCATTGGCTTTCTTGTCATGGTTTTGAAGTGATTTTGGCAACTTTATCATAAAATCACAATGTTTTTTACAAATAAAAGGAGTTACCAGAATAGCTTAATAATAGGAAATTAAGAAATTGTTCCAGGATTTGGCTTATATTGTAGATATTACAAGATGTTTAAATGAATTGAATTTAAAACATCAGGGCTGAAATTAGATTGTAACATTTATATAAGACTACATTAAAGCATTTAAGAAAACTTGGTGTTTGGAAAAGACAGCTAACAAAAAATTGTGATCTGACATTTTCCAACACATAAAAATCTTTTTGTTCTTGTAATTTCAGCAAGTATGCCTCAGCTGTTCAGGAATTACTATTTGAGTATGAAAGGTAATTTCAAAATGTGTGAAAACTTTTCTACTCAGCACTCCATTTTCTTTTGATGTTGAGAAAGTGAAAAGTAACATTCACAGAAACTTGATGAAATTCAATTTAGTTCTAAAAGCGTTACTGAAGCTAGTGTTCCAGATTTTTATTTTTACTTACTAAGACATTTTGTTGCAATGGGTGCTTATTTTCTGTATGAATCTTAGCAATGTTTGTACGTATATAACTATACCAGAAGTTATTTTCATGCCTGTAGACAATTAAAACTTCACATAGGGCAAGAGCATTAAATGAGCATTTATCATTCATGCTAAAAACTTACTGAGAAATATGTAACGTAAATGTTTGTTTCCATAAAATTGAAACAGCCACTAGAAAAGTAACTAACTAAAACTGGATATAGCCAGTCTTATCTTATTTTTCTGGTAGAAGTCAGTAAGGTTAAGCTTTACTTAGAACGCACATGCTTAATAGGCTCATAAATACTAACTTTTCTACCTCTGGGCGGAATTAAGATTCCATTTTCTGAACATGTGATGTATGTAGGAGGAGGTACATGTCAAGGAGTAGATATGTAATAGGTGTGCCTGAAGGTTGTACACTCTGGAGTACTCAGCCAATGAGGAAACAGAGGAGGTTCTGTATGGCCAGGATTAGAAATAAATAGTGGACTCTTGCTTTGGTGTTTGTTAGGATACCCATTTTTGCAGCTGCATAATGAACTGGGCTTTTAACTTCATCCTTCCTGAGTCTAAATGAGTTATTTCTCACACTTATCACAAAAGCTTATACCCAATATTGATAAAATAGTTATTGGCTAAAAATTCCAAGTTATTGGCAAATAATGTTAAATTAATTTTGAATCTTTTTGTAGTGATATGTTTTGTAATGATTTTGCATCTGTTCAGTGTTTTTAAAAATGTATGCTTTTTATATTTCTTATATAAATGCACATGTATTGAAAAAATTGTCAAATTCTTAATGTTTCTTTTTATATATTAGTTATATCTAGTTCCTATCTGATTTTAATATGTTGATGAACTAATAAAAAATGTAAACACGTGATTTTCTGAATCCATATGTGACCCATAGGGATCCTTTTTTATTTATTAACTAGTGTGACTTCTGTTTCTATTTGAGTTTACCATCATTGTTCTAAGAGGATATTGGCATTTGGGGGAGGAGATTGATTTGGTGTTCAGCCTAATCTGGACTGGTTCAGTCCTTAGGATCCCGATTCTGGAGTGTTAAAGGGGAAGGAGACACATAACAGCAATCTCATCATCTTGGAGATTACTTCAGCTTTGATACTGTGACAATAATTTTGATACCCCTACCCAATTTAATCAGTATTTACTCGGTTTATGGTGATTTTTATGGAGATCAGTGATGTTAGGTTGAATACAGTTGAAATTGATAGCTATATTGTTAGATTAAGAATATGTTGGGACCAAATAACTTTATGTATTAGTGATATTGATATTATGTATTAGAAATATCTATTGTTTTAGTGATGTAATGGTATATTATAGGATAAAATCATGACTGTTAAAGAGATGTTACATTTAACCCTGGAGCTTGTTATTGCTGCATCAGCACCTATACAGCATTATCACTGCAGTCTTGTAACATTTCCACTCACCCACCGTTACGGTGGTGAGTATCCATTCCTAGGATACTGCTGACCAAAAACACAAGATACTCACTTTCCTGTGAAAACCTCTGCCAAGGTGTCAGGTAGAATGCCTGCTGACAAAGTGGTTATGATTAACGTGCATGCGCTTCAACTGATCGTAGAGTTCTTTCCCTGATTCTGGTCTTAACTAGTCATAAAATTGTACTGGCTTATTATCCTCTTTTTAGTGTGTTCTCGATCTGTATAAATACTGGCCACTCTTAAGCGGTAGGCATTCATGACTGTGAAGAATGTCATGGATCTCAGTTGCTTAGGGACCATAAGTCTCCCTAAATAAATTGATTATTGCTCAGACCTCAGTTGCTTGTTATTGCTAATTGGAAATTTTGCAGCCCACAATACTCAAGACTTCATCAGTCACTTCAGTTACTTCTCCCTTCTTATTGGAGGGCTGGAGGGTAGAGCAAAAAATTCCCATTATAGAGGGCTCAGAATTTTTGAGCCATCTCTCCATTTCCCATCAACTTCTCTACTGGTTTCAACTCCATGAACATCATGCCCAGCTGCCAGGTACCCTCTGGTGTTACCTCCCTCCCCACTAGAAGATTGTAAGTTTCTTGAGGGCAGGCTGCCTTTTTTTTTTGTATTTGCACTTAGCACAATGCCAGGTATATAGGAGGTGCTTAATAAGTGTTTATTGACTGGACTGTTGACCCTAAAAGGGCAGCATATGTGTCAGCAGTCAACTGTTGTGGTCCCACTTTTCCAAAGAATCAACCTTTAAAAGCAGGACCACAACAGAAACCCTCTTTAAGATAAAGTAAATGGTGCAGCTAAGCCAGCACAGGAAGATTTGACTTAACACATTTTTAGTTTGACATGACATCTGAAGAAATGGCTCATAGTTTGGATGTAGGATGAGGAATGATTTCATCAGAGAAACCCATAGTATTTACCCATTGGTTTGAGTTAGGGGCATCATCAAATTCTAAGACCTATTAGGTATAGTTGGTAGCACCAATGTAAAATGAAGGATGGAGCTGTAATGGAAGTCTTATATCTCTAACTAGTGTTGTTCATCTCAATTTAGAAATGTGTCTGGGACTTGAGGAATAAGGGGCTTTGGAGGGTATTTATTACTTTTCAACCAGTGCCACTACCCTTACTATTCTTTGAATAAGACACTCCTATTTCCACACTCTGGGTCTTTTCAGTTGCTGTCCCCTGTGCCTGGAGTGTTCTTCCTCTTTACCCTGCCTTCTGGATTCCTTTGATTATTTTGAAACTCAGTTCAAGTTCCTCCCTCTGCAGGAGACCTTTCCCCATCCTTCCTGTAGTTAGTGCCTTCTCTGAGATTCTCTCTCCTGTATGTTGTGTGTGTGTGTGTGTGTGTGTGTGTGTGTGTATTTATATAGTTGTTTGCATGTTGTTGCCTCTGTTAAAATATGAGTTCTTTGAAGGCAAGAATTTTTGTACCCCTGGCACATAGCAGTCATACTGTAAATGTTTTTTTGACTGACTGCTGTATGCTTTTAAGTGCCTTACCAGTTTTTCTTTGAAATACACATAGGAAAGCTGGACTATTGCCACCCTTCATGTAGCCTTAATCTGAAGTCTTTTGGGGCATTAATTCTTCTATTTTCCTAAAGTTGTGACAGTTTTCCAGAGATCTCTGGGAGATTTGCTGGATGGGAGTCACTTCTTGCCCCATCTGTTACCCTTGAACCTCAAGCCTAAAGAAGTTATTCCCTAATTTAGTTTAGCTAGTCTTTGGGTGTTTTGAGTATCTAGGGCTCTGGCCATCTTGACTGTGTTTTCTTAGCTAAGCACTGGGGAGAATGATCTGGCAAAGGAACTATAACGTTCAGAAGTTGCTTCAAGCTCCTTCTGAAATTTAATGAACTCTTCAGTGTGTTTGGGAAAGTTGTAGGCATGAATTTTTCAGCTCTTTTTCTGAAGAGGATGAACCCCCTAGAGCTTCCCTTGGGACTTGGAGCTAAGAAACCAGTAAAGAAAGTTTTAGGAGCATTTTAGAGTAATGCTTAAGGGAATGGCCTCTAGGTTTCAGTGCCATTGATCCAAGTTTAAAATGAGTCTTTGAGGGGATGCACTGGGAGAATGCTGGTGATGGAGAGCAACGATAATTAATATTAAAAGGAGGAGAAGGTGAGAGGTTCCAGACTATGTAGGCCAGGGCAGGGAATAGAATACTCTTAAGGTGAAAGGCAAAACAGAATGTTTTCCTCTGGGACTGTTAATGCAGTGGGAGAGCTGGTTTGGAGTTGGTAAGAACACCAAGGCCAGAGTCCTTCCAAGCAGGGCTTTATTATCTTAAAAGCTAACAGAACCAAACAGCTCAGGATACTGGTTGGGTGGAAGGGGAATGGGGACTTGCTTGTATCAGAGCTGAAGGGGGAGTGACTTATGGAAGTTTGCTGTGGCATAAACTTTGCTATGCAAGCAAAAAAGACTTGTGCCTGCACTTTATTGGGTCTTCTGGGTGGCTATTGTGAAATAGCTATTCTTTCACTCTCATCAGAGTTCCTTCATTATCATATTCATGATATGTTAATGAGGACTTTGACATCACATAAGTTACTATTAGGCAATGAGGAGTCTCATTGCAATTGCATGGTCTTGGGAAAGTCGCTTGACCACTGGGGTGCTGGTGACAGGTGGTCTATGGAGTGGTGAGATTGCCTGTTCAGCATATGGGAGAAGGGGCTAAGAAAATAGGTGAAATCAGCGTATAGTGAAAGGATAGGGCCTCACTGCTGTGGGGGAAAAACAGGACTTTGCTAAGCTTTCAGATTCAAGATTCTTCCTTCAGACTCTTAATGTCAACAAGATTTTTTTCTGTGACTCTTTGAGGCCTTTCAGTTTTGACAGGGTAGTTTGTTTTACAGCTTCTTTAAGAAAAAAAAAAGCTAGTTTTATTTTCTTCAGGTTTTAAGGTGCCTTGGAGATGATTTTGTCCTAATTTAGGATAAATTAATCTGGAATCACCTATTCCCACCCTGGGTGAGAAAGTTAAAATTACTTTTAGCAAAAAATTTTCAAAGTTTTGGGTTATAGAGTATACATAAAATATGCCACTTTTTTTTATGGGGGCAGGGATAGTTGTACTATCATATTTCAGTTGGTCCCTTCAATGTGCAGGGTTCTACTAAATCAGTGCTTGTTGTTCGTTAAGATTTTGGCTTCTTTGGTTAGACTTTTCTGTGATTTGGTTTTTTTCAAGCCCTCCTCTTCCTGTGATTTGGACTGACTCCTAAGTAGTCTTAAGTGTTCTGAAACTAATCTTTGAGCAAATACCTGTAAAAATGTGTTCCTATAACAGTTATAGGATGCAGCCCAGGATGGTTGGCTTCTGCTGGCTATACAAATAGTGAAGTTTTAAAGGATGTCTCTTTACCTTCCTGTATTGCAGCTGGAATCCAACATAGAGAATCTCTTCTGTGGGTATGGAGCTACTAGTCATTAGTTATCTCAGCGAAACATTCAGAATTGCTGATGTAAGTTAAGACTATACGCTTTGGCAGGTAAGTTGTTTGAAGTTTATTGCTAGTGACTTTGAAATCAGGAAAGGTTGTCCAATAGGAGAGTATTCTACCAGGCTATAGAGAGTGTGGAGTATGCAGTTAGAAAGAAAGGAGTTCTTTTGTTCCTTGAACAAAAGTTCTTGTCTCAGCAGTTCTATTAACTGCAACAAGAAAAGGTCACATTTGCCCTCATCTAGTCCTTAATTTTCCACAGAGATAATGATAGTTTTCCTGGAGCAATAGAGCCATCTAACCAAAATGCAGTAGAAGCTATATGGAGCAGTGAATGATTTCTTAAGGGGCAGTGCAGTGGAGTTGTACAAGAACTGTCATTTCTTCATTTATATCTATAGTGTACATGGAAAAGTGCTTATATTGAATTTGTTGAATTTGTCTGGTTCTTTTTTCTAAAAGGGAGTTTTGTACTTAGCATCACTAAAGAGATAAAAACATTTCTTTATAAATTATATACATTTTTTCAGTCAGCCAAAATCTACCTTCTCTCCCTCCCTTGAGAAAACAATCAAAACCTAATTACATTATGTATAGTCAGTCAGAACAAATTTCCACAATTACCATGTCCAAAAAAAAAATGTCTCATTCTGCATTCTTGAGTCCTTCACCTCTCCATCAGGAGGTGTATACTATGTTTCATTTTGAATCCTCTGGAATTGTGGTTAGTTGTGATGCTGGTCAGAATTGTTTTTCTTTACCATGATGTCCCTGTATAAATTTTTCTCATAGTGCTGAGTTCATACAGGTGTTCCCAGGTGTCTCTGAAACTATGCCTTTTATCCTTTCTCACAATACAATAATATTCTGTCATTTATATACCATAATATGTTTAGCCTTTCTCCAGTTCATAAGCACATCCCTCAGATTCCTATTCTTTGATACCTCAAAAAGAACTATAAATACTTTTATACATACCTAGTTTGTTTTACTTAGGATCTGTTTTCTAGGTCTTTTTTTTCCCTATGTGATAACCTTGTCTTTTTTTTTCCAGTCTTTTGACATGTTTTAATATTTCTTCTTTCATGGAGCCAATAACTTCTAGTTTCCTAAATATTTTATGTTGTCTATAGTTATTTTAAATGGGTTTATTTCATATCCCTGCAACTTTGCTAATGTTAATTTATTTCAAGTAGTTTTTTAGTTCATTCTGTAGGATTCTTTAAGTATGCCATCATATCTGCAAAGAGTGATAGTTTTGTTTCCTCATCACCTTTTCTAATTCCTTTGATTTCTTTTTCTCCTTTTACTGCTGAAGCTGACATTTCTAGTACAATATTGAATACTGGTGGTGATAATGGGCATCCTTGTTTCTCTCCTGATCTTATTGGGAAAGCTTCTACCTTACTCACATTTCAGCCAATGCTTTTTTTGTCATGGACTTTTCCTCAGAACAGTGTTTTTAAATGTATAAAACAATACATAGGGTTACAAAGGAAGCCAGTTATTTTAAAATACAATATAAAATATTTTTAAAAATTAAGTTCATGGCTCTTGGGTTAAGAACCTCTGATTTAGTTAGATAGGCTGGGCTCATAGGATATTGTCTGATCTAAATAAATTTACTTTCTCTAAGCCAAACAGTGGGAAACATTTGTTCAACTTGTTGTAAGCACATGTTAATTTTTAACTTACTTGTTTTTGGAATGTTTTGCAATTAGACATTGATTATATACTTTGCTTGTCTAGCTGTTTCTCACAATCTACTGAAAAAAACTAGATTTGCTTGTGGGGGCAGCTAGGTGGTGCAGTGGGTAGATCTCTGGCCTTGGGGTTTGGAAGCCCTGAGTTCAAATGCGGCCTCAGACACATGACATTTACTAGCTGTGTGACCATGGGCAAGTCACTTAACCCCCAATTGCCTCACCAAAAAAGAAAAAAAAAGATTTGCAGTATTGAGGAAGAACCTGTTTGCAACTTATGCCCTTATGGCCACTGCTACAGAAATTATTCTTCCTTGCACCTTAATCAGACACAAATCAATGTAGTAAATTTCAGTTCTTCCATAGTAGACATGGCCCATGGTCACGTCCATACTTTGAAGAAACATTGAAATAACTTTTGTGTCAGGACCTTTTTAAAAAACTGTAATTTTGATCTTCTGTGAAACTTGTTTAAAGTGATATTTACCTTATGTTTGTTTACCTGTCCTTTATCAGAACTGAAAGTTTGTTTTTTTAATGTTGGCCTTGTTTACTATTTGCCCTGTAAGTTTTATTGCTTCACAGAATAACTGGTTTCAGGATCCTATGATAGAGAAAATGGTGGAAATGGAGTCAGCAAAGGTTGAATCTTTATATAGCAACCAGTTTTTTTTTTTGGATATTTGTCATAGAAGCTCTTTAAGGAACAATTACTGGAAAAAGAATAATGTTTACTTGTTTTTCAGATTACTGATATTTAAAAAACAACTGATGTGGACTATACTGGTACATCTTCAAAAGAACAATGGACTGGAATGCCAAACCAGAAGATAGTGCTGCTCTTCCATCCCATTTAGAAAGTCAATCAAGTTTTCTGAGAAAAGCCTTAAGTCCACATACCTTAACATCTCAGAGTTCTTGTAACTATTCTAGAAATAATCAGGAGGTATTTGTTTGCCCTAACAATAAAGATGCAACTTTACAGTCATTGCAATATCAAAATATTGAAAGTCCTAAAAATCCTCAGCAAGCCTCTCACCCATATATATCTAGTAGGGTAGTTATTGTCCCAGAAACTTCCACTGAAAAAATTCCTTTTTCACAGTTGAAAGTAGTACCAAATCAACCAGATCAAAGTTCACACAGATCCCTTGGTGCTCCAAGAAACTCTTGGTTAAGTTCTTCAGTGAGTGATTCTGTCTTTTTTAGCAGAGGATTGTCTGGTGGGACATCTCAAACTAGTGTTGGAGGTAGTGTACATAATGCACTTAAATCTCAGGACCAGTATGTCTCATCAAATACTTATACTATGCAGCTACAGATGCTTTCATCTAATCCTTCCAAAGTTCCTGCATTATATCCAGGAAATCAAGCATCTAATTTATATTCAGCAGAACAGCAAATCGGATGGGTACCACCCTGTACATCCAATGGACTAACTGTGCCTTTTCATCAACCAAGTCAGTATCTTGATTCACAAAAGGTATAGTAACCAATTTATCTAATACAGCCATTCAGAAACAACCTGTTTTTTCAGCTACACCATTACAGGTTACAAATAATCAACTTTTAAACCCCAGTGTAGCTGTTACAGCACCTCCACCACCGTATCCAATGGTACAGTCACATCAATATGCAGCTATTAGTACAGTTACTGAGACCAGTAATAGAAATCTTCCTAACTACTACTGTAGATTAATCCCACCGGTTCAAAAAAATAGTCAGTATTTAGCTCATAATCCATCTAATGAAGTTTTACATACTCAACAAGTACATCTTTCTGAAACAAAAAGAAGTTTTGGAAGAGATTGTCAACAACAGTGGCAGAACACTAATGAACGTGGTCTTCAGAAACTGAATGTTGAAACAAACTATCCCTTTAATGAACCAGGCAATTCTTTTGCAGTTGGTGGAATACCTCACTATAGAAATAAACAAATGAGAACAAGTCTTGGTGATGCATCTTCTGAATTACCAAGCAGAATCCCAGGACCAAGCACCCAGAAAAACAATCATTCTCTTGGAGAAGGTTGTGGTTTTCTTGGGAAAAGTAGTGGTTCTCTCAGGGAAGGTGGTAGTTCCTTTGTAAAAGGTAGTAGTTCTCATAGAGAAGGTAGTCATTCAACTAATTCAGAAATTGATATATCAAAAGAAAGTGATTCCAAGATAACAAAAGAAGGGTTATTTAAGGACATAAGAAAATTACTGGCAATGAAAAATGAATTCTTGAAATTAGCAAAAGAAATTAAAATTAAAAAATCCTTTCTTTCTGAAAGTCAAGATAAACCACTTAATTCTTCCTTGCCACAGAATCCTGCTATGTCTCTGCAACTTCCTTCTAAGGATCAGTCTTTTCCACAGTTACTGTCAGCTAATTCAGAACATCAACCACTGACGGTAATGCAGTCTACAGAAGACACAAATAAAATTAACAACACACTGATCACTAGTATTAAAGAAGCAGATTGCAGCAGACAGATTAACCAAGGCAATTCAGTCTTGCCAAATTCTGCCTGTTCTGGAAAATTGCAGACAGAGCATATAAATGCTCTTTTTCAGGAACCCTCCCCTGTGTGTCAGAAAATCCCATCAGCCATTAATCCTGCACACACACTATCAAATCAGACCGCCTTAGATTTTAATAAAGGTGATAGATTTGAGAGACCTCAACAATCTGGCGATACAATTAAAATTTCTGTTGCCCAACAAAGACAAAAAGTTTTGAAAAATAAAGAGGACAATTATAAACTGCTTTCTCATCTCCTTAAAAGCAACAACACAACTTTAGATTTTACCCCCAAAATAATGAATCAGGAAACATCAGCAAAAGGTGTAAGTGAAAACATTCAGGACTGTAATAAATCTATCCATTCTGAAGTAAAACAAAAAACGGAAGTCACTAGTGCTCAATCGCAACTCAAAAACACAGGAATTCCAATGACTACTGTCTCAAGTGAAGATGGTTCAGATAATTCTATTAAACTGAAAGATAGGACTTCAGTTTTACTTAATGGGAAACCTTGTACAAAGGATAATAATTATTCCATGGAAGAGTTAACAGCATGTCTTGCATTATGGAAAAAAGCACCATCAGAATCCACTAACATTCAAAAGTGTGACATACTAGGAAAAAACAAAACATCAGAAGGAACGTCATCTCCTACAGCTATAAGAAACATGAATGAAACTGTTTTGCCAACTGTGAGTGTTCCTATTGGGCACAAACATGAATCTGGAAATTTAAATTTAACAAAGGGGATTGAACTTCAAATTGCTGTTGTTTCACCTTTAATTCTTTCAGAGGTAAAACCATCAGGTGACCAGCCACTAAAGCCAACTAAATCTTCATTAGAATCAGTGTTCCCAGTTATTCAAGAAGGCAGTGTATGTAGTTTACAAGACCAAGTTAAAGAAAAAGCAGTTGCTGCATCAAATATTAATACTATTAAAAGAACAGAAATTTCTATTGCAAAAAATAATTTTGCACTGACTAATAAGTTCGATTCCAAATTACAAGACATAAAACCAGCTGATGGAATAGTACATTCAAACATAAACTCGAGTTTTTCAGCTGAACCAATGAAAGAAAAATTAGGCAAGTCAGAGCCACGGCTCTCACATTTAGAAAAGGACATCTGTTCTCCCAACAATGCAAACAGCTCAGGGCTGGGTATAGAACAAAATAAGGAAGAGCGAATCTCCATGCAGTTGGTGGATGATAGTCCAGTGAATGATGACTTGTTGCAAATTGCCAGTGTCTGTTCTCTTGTTGAAGGTGATATGTTTTATAATTCCCAAATAGCCAATATGTTCAACTCTGTCCCTTCAACACATGATGATAAGAAAGAGGTTTCTTTACTAGACAGCACTATGATTGATAATAGACAGCTTAAAGAACAGTTGAACCAGACCAAGTTTGAATCTGTGAGTAATTTTAAAGGGGAAAATTTGCTGAAAATTACCAATGTCCTACCTAAAACGTCTTATGGGACAAAGTCATTTAAATTAAAGCATTGTGAAACAAATGACAGAATTGCAAAACAAAAAAATAATGTGGAACAGACTGTCGAGATGACAGAAGTTGTTAGTAATAAACGTTGCTCATCAACTGATGATCAGCCAGATCTTAACTCTAAAGAAATTGTTGATGTATCTAGCACACATTTCACCAAAGAACCTTTATCTTGTATGATCCGAAATATTGAACAAGCAAACAGTGAGATTATTTTTGACGAGGCAATATCTGTGAAATATCTAGATGACCAGTTGTCTGAACTTGTAGAAGAATTTCCTTATGGTATTGAAAGTGCAGACACACACAGTATACCAGCAGAAAATAAAGATTCATTACTGCAACTAACCATAAACCCAGTGACTAAAGATAAAGAAACCAGCATCAGAAGCAACTGTGACTCTGAAGATCCAGTAAACCAAATTAAAATTACAATATTGAGCTCAGAGCGCATGAAAGAATTGTTCCCTAAAGAAAATAAAGAAATCTGCAAGGGAGATGACAAGCTAGACAAATTGGAAAATTCTCAGAAAAAGAAATCAATAACAGAAGTCCAAAATCATTGTGGTTCACACATAAAAACTACAGGCGATAATGTCAATCAGGATTCCATAGTACCCTCTGCAGGAAAAGATGATGTTCATTGCTGCGCATTAGGTTGGCTATCTACAGTTTATGATGGAGTGCCCCAATGTCTGTGTGATTCTAGAAAGGACATTACAACAGAAGAAAAGCTTGATGGCCAGAGTTATAAGGGAGACCCAGCTATTGATGGGAACATCCTTGCTACAAAAATTAATAGTCCATTAAAGAGTAACTTGCAGAATCCTCTGGCACATCCTGAAGGGAAAAGAAATTTGCTTGAAATGGAACAAGATGAAATAAAATGTTCACCAAAGACCGTGGAAAATGAAAAGCCTAGTTTTTCTTCAGGGAAGAAAATGGTAAAATATAATGAAAGAGATTCTCAGGAAAATCCGCAGAAGATACTTAAAGCAAGAAACTTAATCCCTTTAAATGGAGAAAAGAGAAAATCACATTTTTGGTCAATTAAAAACAAAGAATTTCTTAAGGAACGTTCTTCAAGAGAACATTCAACAGAGAAGTTAAAATGGAAATTTAAGTCAGGTTGCTCAAAATTTAAAAATCCAAAGTGGAAGTTGGAACAACCTAATGTGGCAAATATGGAGCAGAAAAAGAAAAAATATGAGCTAGAACAGAAAACATGTATGGTAAATGGGTCTAAGTTGTGTGAATCTCTGTCAAGCACAAATGAAGAGAATTGTGAAGAAAATATGTTTACAGATGCAAAGTCCACAAACTTGGAAAGGAATGTCCACCAGAGTATAATGAATATTTCAAATGTGAACTTGAACTCTTCAAAGTCTAATGGTAGTCCGCGTAAAATTAAGAAAGTCCTATCTTCTCAAGATTATTTTCAGAGACAAAAGCAAAAAGAAAAGGTTGGTAAAGGAGACTTAAATAAGCAAAGGCATGAAAGTGAGAAATTTAAAAAAAATAGGTCACATGTTTCTGAATATGCATGGCGCAACAAACTCACCATAAAACTCGTTAACTGTGCAATATCAAATGAGGGACACAATGTACGGAAATATAAAAGGTCATTAGACAATTTAGCATACCCTAATAAAACCACCAAGTCTCACAAAAGGAAGCTCCATCATTCAAAAGAGTCTAAAATATGTGGCATTGCAAGGAATGGGCAAGAAAAACTTAATGAAAAACAGCTTGATAATATGGTTGTTTTAAACAGAAAAGTAAACAAATATAACCAAATTCCTCTCCAAGGAAAGGATCAAAAGGAACAAAAGAAATTGTATTTGAACAGAGTTGCATTTAAACGCACTGCGCAAGAAAGTATTTGCCTGACAAAATTAGACTGTTCACCCAGGCGTTCTGTAAGTCAAGTTAAGCATGGTGATGATGGTAATGAGTCCAGCCAAGGTTCATTTTCACTTGAGAAGGATAAATTTGAAAAACCAAGAATGCTGGAATTTAAGTTATGTCCAGAAGAATTATTTAAGAAAGGAAACAGCGAAGAACATCCAGATTTTAAGTCTTTTCCCAGGAAGGAGCAAGTTCCTGTACAAGGTATGACATTTTTTTAAAAAGATTACTCATATAAAGTAATAATTCAGTTACAGAATTTGATTATAATTGAGAAATGTCACATGTTTAGTGGACTTGGAGTCATTAGGTCTCTAATTAGAGATCCTGCCAAGGACACATCACTTGCTGTGTGACAGTGGACTAGGTCCTTAACCTTCAGTTTCATTATCCATAAAATGTACATAATAGCTAGTATTTACCTCATAAGGCTGTTGTGAGGTTCAAATGGCATAATGTGTGTAAACCATTTTGCAAGCCCCAGAGCACTATTATATAGCTGTTATTATTTTTATAAATCTAATACTGATAGTGTAATCAGCTGTGTGAGAAAGTTTTAATTGTGTTTAAAACAAATATATTCTGCTAGCAACTAAAATTGATCTTTGGTACATTATTTTGTTTTCTGTCCCCATTTCTTCATCTATATATTACTTTCTTATTTTACTGTTAACAGACTTATGCCCCGGAACTTTAAAAATAAAGTTCTCATAAATATTATGTGAAATAGTATGTGAAAGTTCCAGTATGCCTATTACTAACAGATATGTGTTGTATGAAAAAAAAATTTAGCAAGGGAAATTGTACTACTTGGTTTTTTTTGATAGATTATTTTATTATAATTTATCATAAGACAGGTATATGTTATTCCATACTTTGTACTGCTTTTTTGCCTTTTCAAATGCTGCCTCCCACATTTACTTCTATTTAAACATTTTGGTTTAAGTTTTGAAATAGTAGTACACTTGAGAACCCTTAGTTGTTTTTCCATGTGGAAATCACTCAATTTACCTGAATATTTAACACATGCATTGTTATATCTCACTGAGATATTAAAATTAGGCTTTATAGTCTGATCAACTCAAATTGCGGTACCAAAGAACTATAGAAACATTTGTTCTCTACAAGAGTAAAAGATAATTTTTCTGTCATCTAGTAGTTTCATGCCAAAACATGGCAGTTTTGGTCTTTCCCAAGTATGGTGGTTTTACTTCTTCAGAGAAGGGAAGAAGAACATTGTTTTCCCATTTGGCAAGGTATTCTTTAAATATTTCCTGCAAAAGAGAAAGTCCTTATATAAGAACATTCTCCTTGAGACCACTTAAATCATGAAGATTAATATTTTTAGTTCTATAAACTGCTTTCTGCTCTGTGTGTGTGTGTGTGCGCACACACATGAGTGCATGCGTGCAATGCAGCTTTTTTACCAGATACAGTTATCTTATTAGAACTTAGAAATATTTACAAATTAAGATACATTAAAATGACACTTTGATCATTTACAGGCATAAAAAGTACAAAAGAAGATTGGTTAAAATGTATTCCTCAGAAGAAAAGGAAAATAGAAGCAATCAAAGATAAAGGTGACACATTGCCTGTACCCAGTTTTAATGTCCATTGTTTCTTAGAATGATGGCTGTTACTGTTACTGTTGTTATTTGGGGTAGAGCATACTTAATGAAAATAACATGCTGTACTTATATTGTTCTTTATTTGTGCTTTACTGCCATTTTCCTCACATGTTTTAAGTGAGCAGGGTTTTTGTTTGCTTCTCTTGGTTTATTTCTAGTGCTTATTTTTAAAGAGAAGAAAATGGAGCTTCCAGCACAGTCTTGATGAAGAAGAAAAAAGAGAAATTGAAACCACTAGTAGAATTTTTGCTTTAAATGAAAGTGGAGACAGAAATCTTAGCCTTCTATTTAAAAGCAAGACACTCTATCTTGAATGTACAATAGTTTCTTTTTTTTCTCTTTTTTTTTTTGGCTGGGCAGTGAGGTTAAGTGACTTTCCCAGGGTTACACAGCTAGTAAGTGTTATGTATCTGAGGCCGGATTTGAACTCAGGTCCTCCTGAATCCAGGTGCTCTATCTACTGTGCCAACTAGCTACCCCAATAGTAGTTTCTTTCATTGAAAACACTGAGTTCAAAAGTACACAGACAGAACCAAAAAGAAAACAAAGAAGCAAAGCTAAATAAAAAAGAAAGCAAAAACAGACAAATGAAAGGCAGGTAAATGTGTGACACTAGGGAGCCAGACTTAAATAATTACAGAATCATGGACTCTTATAGCTGGAAAGGGTGATTAGATTATCTAGCCCACACCATACCTAAGTAAGAATACCCATTATACAAAATCCTCAACAAGTGTTTACATGTGAAAGATTTCATTAATGGTGAATTACTGCCTCCCAAAGAAGTTCATTAATTCAAAAGAAAGTTTTTTTTTTATCTTACTGCAATCTTTCTGCATCTTCTAAGCCTAGCTGCTATGGCTAGGTTACTTGCTGTCAGAGCCGAACCTCAGAACGAGTTAGTCTCCCTTTTCCAAGTAACAGCCCTTTGGCTTTTATATCCTTTTTATACTTTTTTATATAGGGCAGCTAGGTGGTGCAGTGGATGGAGTGCTGGCCTTGGAGTCAGGAAGGTGAGTTTTCTTGAGTTCAAATCTGGAAAGCCAATCAAAACTTAACTAGCTTTGTGACTTTGGGCAAGTCATTTAACTCTGTTTGCCTCAGTTCTTATTTGTAAAATGAGCTGGAAAAGGGCATGGCAAACCACTCCAGTATCTTTGCCAAGAAAATCCAAATGGGGTTACAAAGAATCGGGCACAACTGAAACAACTGAAGTATAACAAAAAACATACTTCTACACCTTCAGTACTTTCAGATGCATCTCAGTAAGGCATGATTTTCAGTCTTTTTGTCTATTTTGGTCATTGTTAATATAATTCAGTTTGTCAGTGCCCCTTCATATAATACAATACCCTTAAGTGAGCACATCCTCCAGATATGGTTTGACTAGAGCAGGAGTGTTGCTTTCCTGAATCTGGAGTTATCCTTTTAATTCAGCCCAAGATTGCATTAGCTTTTTTTGACTGTAATGTCATACTGTTTACTTTTTAATTTTATAATTAATGAAAACCAGACCCTAGGTAATTTTCGTAAGAAATGTTGTCTAAACTTGCCTAACTCAACCTTTATTTGTTCAGTTAATTATTAGAATCAAGTATAGGATTTAATCTGTTAAATTTTATTTTATTAGCTTTAGATTATCATTTTAATCTGTTTAAAATGTTAGCCTTTCCAGTTTTGTGTCATCTAGAAATTTGGTTGACTGTGCCATGTATACTTTATGTAAGTCACAATATTATGTTAGTCACTAGAGAGCACCTTCTGGATTGGCATCTATTTGTCCAGGTAACAGTCACCTGTCTGATCCAGTTAGTCAGTTGTAAATTTACCCAGTTTTATTGTTCTCAAGCTCATCTCTCTTCATATTATCCATAACTCATACTAAAATTATTTTAGACAACTCTCCTGTCTGTTTCAAGTGTACATGCATGAGTACAGGAAAAGGATTACTTTGATTTGCCTGTTTATAATATAATAGCAGTTTTACAAAGGAGCTTTTAAAAGATTCTGTTGAGGCTCAGATTCCTTAAGAGTCTGGCCCATTTGTTAATACAAGTGTCACAATGCATGGATTCTTAAAATCTTGCCCACCTCAATCGGTGTTTTAATAAACCTTGTCTCTGACTGAAAAAGTTTACGTTGAAATCAGTTTATTTGTTGAGGTCCTCTGCTAGCACAAGGAGGAAACAACAGTCAATAAGACAGAGCTCTTGCTATCCAAAAATTACAGTGTAATGGAGGAGAATTGCTGCAGGACTAGAGAAATTTCCAGTGCTATGATTCTTTTTTTTTCTTTTTTTCTTCTTTTTTTTTTAGTGAGGCAATTGGGGTTAAGTGACTTGCCCAGAGTCACACAGCTAGGAAGTATTATGTATTTGAGGCCGGATTTGAGCTCAGGTCCTCCTGAATCCAGGGCCGGTGCTCTATCCACTGCGCCACCTAGCTGCCCCCAGTGCTATGATTCTTTAAGAAGGAAGAGTACAACCTGCAGACAGTAAACTGGTGAGCTGGATTCCTGATTACTTGCAAGAAGACAGTACTAGGAGTCTTGTTGGAATGGGTTCCTCTTCACTGGAAACTTTCATTCTAAAACTGTACTGTTGTTAGAGGAGAGAGAGAATATGAAACACACCTTAAATCAAAAATGAATAGCAACTTGTACATGATTTGAAGTTTCATGTGCCAAAACATTCTTTAAAATTATACTGTTATAGAAATGCTTGTTTTAATAAAAATTTTAAAAAATCAAAATAGAAGGAAAAAGACTAAAAAGAAATGCCAAGATGGTGAGAAAATGGGTGAAAAGCAGACTGAAATGGGACAGGAGAACCACAGAGAAAATAAAATTGGTAAAGGAAAGCATGACAAATTTAGAATAATAGCATTGTTTTGATTGCTTTTGTAATTAGATTTATCAGTTTGAAGAAAATGTGAAGGGAGAAGTAATCTTGAGACAAATTTGGCAAAAATGGAAAGAAACTTTAACCAGGGAAACTTGAGGGTATAAGATACAGAGGTAAAGAGGAAGTAGATTGACAAACACTGAAACAGGGAAAGGGGCAACAGAAATAAGGAAGGAACATAGGCATAGGTTGAAAGAAATTAAGGAAAGAATACAAGGAATCAAATATCAGCACCAGTTGGAGGTTGTAGGGCATATTTTTCTTTGAGTGTGATTTAAGTACATAATCTTCAAAATTTTATGAAACTGAATCTGAGGTCCCTTTTCGCTTATGAATCTATACAAAGAGGTGGGAAGAGGCTGGGAGGAGAAAAGGAATACAGGACACTGGGACACTGAATGAATGCCAAGGAAGGGACATTTGGGGAAAGAATGAGATGAGACAAAGCAGAGTGGTGATAGGAGTCCATGGGGCAGAGAGGGAAATCATGAATTCTAGAAAAGGGGCATTCAAACATTATTAGAGTGTAGCAATACATAGACGGAGGCAAAGAGACATGTGTAAAAGTAAAGGGACATGCAGATGCCAAGAAGGCAACAAGAGAGAAATACAGACAAAAAGTAGGAAAGATTGAATCCATGAGACTTTGAAATAGTTGACAAGCCAGGGTGCTGACACAAATAGAATTGAACAAGATGAGAGACACACAAACCTGGCATTGAGATACAATTCATTCAAAGCAAAACTCAAAGCTACATTGAAGTGTGGGCATAGAGTGTTAAATGATTATATCCATTTTGACATGATAAAATTGAAAGACAGATGTAGAATAAAATGAGACATTAAGGAATGGAAACAGGGTTAGATAAATGGGGAAAGATCAAAAGAGTTGTAAAATAGACTACATAGGTAGAGCTTTACATTGACATCTTTTTAAATGAAACTAAGGTAGCTGATTACTTTTTAATCATCAAATTAGTAATTCCATGCTTCATTGATGCTTAACATTAAATAACAGTAACATTTATTTCCTTTAGATGACAATGCTCTATCTAATTCAAGAGTGTACAAGAGAACATTGAGTGTGGATGGATACAAGGCTGTTCAGAACCCACCAAAAGATTCAAAAACAATGTTTCAGACCTACAAGAAATTATATTTGGAGAAAAGAAGTAGAAGCCTAGATGACAGTCCTACAAAGTAATTATCTTTTTGTTAGATAAAGTTTAGGAAGCAGTGTGTGGTACTGAAAGTGTCCAAATGCTATTCCTTCAAGAATTAATTAATTTCTATTCTTTTCTCCTTTTTAAAATTCCATCGCTGGCAATGGATTCACTATTGCAGTTATGGAGGCTTTCCAGTCATAAACTTTATTTCTGACTTAACTAAACATCATTTGGAAACATCTTGTTTGTATGTGGAGAAAGTTTAATCTTTCTTTGCTTAGGAAAACATCAAATTCATGCAAAGAAACCTGATTGTGCTTAACAGGGAAACCATAAAGTATTTAGCTGCTACATTGTTGAACCAAACAGACATAATTACAAAGTAATTGTTTTGTTTAATTTTTTCTTATCTTATTTTTGTATTTCAAATGCTGACTAGAGCTGTTAAAAATTCATCCTTAAATTTGAGGAAAAGCTGTTCCTCAACAACTACTTGTACACTTTAATTAGAATTGTAAATACAGTCTTATGTTTATAAGCTATATTAGCAGATCGTAACTAATTGTGAATTTTGAAATATATTCTTGAGTATTTTGTTAAAAGTGCCATTTTGTACTGTTAAGTTTTGTACTTGAATTGTAAACTTTTCCCCAAAGTCTTGGTTTTTTTTACTTATTACATTGAATACATTTAGATGTTTAAACATTACTTTTCATACGTGAAATAAACATTTATTTTAAAAAATGAAAAAGTTGGTGTTTTTTTAATCAAATATTAACTTTATTGAGTGTCAACACATAAACAGTTTCACTTGTACATAAAGTAGAATAAAAACGTTAAAGGAGAGTAGATTATCAATAGTGTAATTGATCAGGTTGGGTTGGAAAAGAAAAAATGGGTGATTGAGAGATTACTAAAGCTTGATTCTAGGAATAAGACTGGTTGAAAAATGTAATACTGTGAAGGAATGAAGATAGTTGAGGTAGAGCTAAGATGGTGGATTAGCAGGAAAAAGTATAGCCAGACCCTCCCTCACAATGTCTCCAAACATCAAGAAAACGTACCAGACTGACAGAAAATCCAAGAAATAATCGTTTTTCCAGCCTAAAATATATAGATTCACAGAGAAGTCTGCAGACCTGGGGGCAGGAGTAGCCAGGAAAAACACTGAAGAGCAATCCATTGTAGGAACTGGAAGAACAGAGCTGTTCACCAGGGCAAGAAAAGGTACCAGACCTGGGGGTGGCATAGGGTGGTGGAAAGGACAGGAGAGGTTGCTCTTACAACATCAGACTGGTAGTCTTGAGACCACCATTCACAATCTCTCCTTAAGGGGGCTGTTAGTTTATTGAACATATACTCATGGAAAACTACTGGCAACAATATTTTTCTAACATTAGTTACAACTATGTGCCCACAAATAACCAGCTGTCAAGCGCTACCTGGTGTTTCTCTCTGCATTTATGCACACGCTCCTCCTCCATCCCACGTGCCCATACAAAAATTCGTGTAGAATTCCCTGTATGCCCTGATCCTCTATACACAAATCAGCAGTTCCAGGGAGCCACCCAAAATCAGAATCCCGTTTTCTTTTTTTTTTTACTTGATTGTGCATATTTGGTTTTTTTCTTTATTAATTTATTTTGATTTATCAATAATCACTTCCATATGCTTTTGAGTTTAAAATTTTTCTCCCCCTTCCTCCCCACCACCATCCCCAAGATGGCACACAATCTGATAGAGGCTATACGTTTACATTCCTATTAAACATTTTCACATTAGTGATGTAAGTAAAAATTAAAACTAATAGGAGGAACCATCAGAAAGGAAACAAAACTCAGCAGAAGAGAAAAAAATAGTAATTCAACTTCCATAGTTCATTCTTTGGATGTGGATAGCATTTTCCATCAAGAGGCCTCTGGAGATGTCTTAGAAGCTTGTATTGCTGGGAAGGGTTAAGTTTATCAATATTAGTCATCACACAACGTGGCTGGTATTGTGTACAACGTTCTCTTGGTTCTGCTCACTTCACTCAGCATCATTTCATATAAGATTTTCCAGGTTTTTCTAAAGTCTGCCTGCTCATCATTTCTTATAGCATTATACGCTACATTCATATACCACAACTTGCTCAGCCATTCCCCAATTGATGGGCATCCTCTCAATTTCCTATTCTTTGCCACCACAAAATGAGCTGCTATGAATATTTTTGTACATGGGGGTCCTTTTCCCATTTGTACAATCTCTGGGATATAGCCCTAGAAGTGCTATTGCTGGGTCAAAGGGTATGCACGTTTTTATAGCCCTTTGGGCATAGTTCCAAATTGTTCTCCAAAATGGTTGGATCATTTCACAACTCCACCAACAATGCATTAGTGTTCCAATTTTCCCACATCTTCTCCAATGTTTATCATTTTCTTGTTTTGTCATGTTGGCCAATCTGATAGGTGTGATGGATGCCTCAGAGTTATTTTGATTTGCATTTCTCCAATCAATAATGATTTAGAACATTTTTTCAATATGGCTATAGATGACTTTAATTTCTTCATCTGAGAATTGTCTGTTCATATCCTTTGACCATTTATCAATTGGGGAATGGCTTGTATTATAAATTTGGAGGCCTTTATCAGAGAGACTGCTTGTAAAAATTCTTTCCCAATTTTCTACCTTCCTTCTTTGGCTTTGTGCAAAAACTTTTCAATTTAATGTAATCAAAATTACCCATTTTGCTTTTTGTAATGTCCTCTGTTTCCTGTTTGGACATGAATTCTTCTGTTCTCCATAGATCTGATAGGTAAACTATTCCTTGCTCTCCCAGTTTGTTTATAATGTCAACCTTTATATCTAAATCATGAACCCATTTTGACTTTATTTTGGTATATGGTGTGAGATTTTGATCTATGCCTAGTTTCTGCCGTACTCTTTTCTAGTTTTCCCAGCAGTTTTTTTCAAAGAGTGGATTCTTATCCCAGAAGCTGGGGTCTTTGGGTTTATCAAATAATAGGTTACTATAGTCATTGACTACTGTGTCTTGCATATTTAACCTATTCCACTGATCACCTCTCTATTTCTTAGCCAGTACCAAGCAGCTGCTTTAGAATACAATTTAAGATCTGGAATTGCTAGGCCAACTTCCCCTGCATTTCTTTTCATTAGTTCCCTTGATATTCTGGACCTTTTGTCCTTCCAAATGAATCTTGTTATTATTTTTTCTAACTATAAAATAATTTTTTGGTAGTTTGGTATGGCACTGAATAAGTAAATTAGCTTGGGTAGAATTGTTATTTTTATTATATTAGCTTGGCCTACCCATGAGCAACTGATGTTTTTCCAATTATTTAGATCTGACTTAATGAAAAGTGTTTTGTAATTGTGTTCATAGAGTTCCTGGGTTTGTTTAGAGAGGTAGACTCCTAAATATTTTATAATGTCTACAGTAAGTTTAAATGGAATTTCTCTTTCTATCTCTTGCTCTTGGGCTTTATTGGTAATATGTAGAAATGCTGATGATTTATGTGGGTTTATTTTATAGCCTGCAACTTTGCTAAAGTTGTTTATTATTTCAAGTAGTTTTTTTACTTGATTCTCTAGGATTCTCTAAGTATGTCATCATGTCATCTAAGAGTGATAGCTTTGTTTCATATTTGCCTATTCTAATACCTTCAATTTCTTTTTCTTCTCTTATTGCTAAATGTTTCCAGTACAATATTGAATAACAGTGATGATAACGGACATCCTTGTTTCACCCCCAACCTTTTTGGAAATTTTTTTTTTTTTTGGCTAGGCAGTGGGGTTAAGTGACTTGCCCAGGGTCACACAGGTAGTGTTATGTGTCTGAGGCTGGATTTGAACTCAAGTCCTCCTGAATCCAGGGCCGGTGCTCTATCCTCTGTGCCACCTAGCTGCCCCTATTATTGGAAATTCTTCTAGCTTGTCCCCATTACATATCATGCTTGCTGTTTTTAGGATATGGCCAATGCTGGAATTTCTTTTACTTGACTATACATACTTGTATTAGGGATTTTCATTTTCTTTCTCAATTGGGAGTGAGGAAGGGAGGGAAGATAAGGTGGTTTTTATTGACGAAAAATAAAATTTAAAAAACTTAAAGCATAGTTGAGAGCTGGAGGGAAGAATGATCTGTGGATCTGGTGTTCAAAACATGTTATTGTGAAAGAAAATTAATTTTGAAAGCTGCATGAAAATGAGTGGATCATAGAATCTAGGAGAGAGTAATATTTCTTCATGTTCTCATCAAATCATTGAATTTTCTTTGCTCCAGGTTTTTCACCCTCTGTTCAAAATAGTGTATTCTTTTCCCAAGTGCTTTAGTTATACTTCTCTGGCTTATTTACTGTGATAAAATATTAAGCCTTTCATAGCACATTTGACAGTGCCTCATTTTATCTTTATGAATAAAATGTAAAGGTGTGCTAAAATAACAGTATGGTTTTGTGGACTCAGAACTGGTTAAATGGCCAAATCTATTAAACAGTTTATCTCAGCTTAGAATGATGTCTCAGTTGGGAACATTCTGGGAATCTCTAGTGAGTCCTTGCCAGCTACTTTGTACATGTGTGATTTTTAGGGAAGTCAATTAAGTAATATGTAGGTTGGATTGGATTTATGATTTCCTAAACTTAGTCCTGAATTTAAGTCTTATTCATTACAGATTTCTGCTCACTCACATAAGCAATAATCAACCAGGACCCCAGCAGGCTGATGATGAGTCATGCTTCCCATATCTCATAAGAGAGGTGATGGTCTAGAAGTACAAAATAAGGCATATGTTTTCAGTTTCTAAAGGGAGAAGCCAGTTGTCTTAAGGAAGGAATCCTTCTTGAACTTGATTAAGGTAATGATCATACAGAGAGCAGAATTCTATTGAGCAGTCTATTTAAGAGCAGTATCCCCTTTCTTATATTTTGATAGTTAGGATTTCTATTTATTATTAGTTG